TATTGAGAGAAATGAAACAAACTTTTTTTACAATATTTACACTTTTTATGAACACTTCCTGATCAGCAGGGGGCAGCAGGTGACCCTCTCCCAGGATTTAACCAGAACTTTCAGATTTTTACCAAACAAACTAAATCTGAACTAAAAACCACAGAAGTTTAAAATTAATATTCATCTTTGAACTGAAGATTCTTTGATTACTAAAACTTCAATCTGACACCGAGTCAGAACTCTTCTGTAAATATGAAACTAAACTGTTGCAAAACAACGAGAACAAATCGTTTAAAGAAAGGCAGCTTGTTCAAGGAGGTCCAGTTTTATTATTCTGCCTAAAGGTCCAGATCTGTGGACCAGTCCTTGTTTGAGACCAGCTGAAGAGTCTCCTCCTGAGACCTGAGGGTTTGTCTTTTTCTCCTGTTACGAGATTTAAACCTGTTCTCTGTGTACAGGAAGTAGTTTTTTGTAAACAGTGTCCTCATATGAGGACAGCAGGTTTATTTAGGTGTTTCAGATCCTGATATGAGAGGTTTCCAGGACCTACAGGTTTTCAAGTCCTGATAATAGGTTCTCAGGACCTACAGGAGGGTCTCAGGACCTACAGGAGGGTTTTCAGGACCTACAGGAGGGTTTTCAGGACCTACAGGAGGGTTTTCAGGACCTACAGGTTTTCAAGTCCTGATAATAGGTTCTCAGGACCTACAGGAGGGTCTCAGGACCTACAGGAGGGTCTCAGGACCTACAGGTTTTCAAGTCCTGATAACAGGTTCTCAGGACCTACAGGAGGGTTTTCAGGACCTACAGGTTTTCAAGTCCTGATAACAGGTTCTCAGGACCTACAGGAGGGTTTTCAGGACCTACAGGAGGGTTTTCAGGACCTACAGGAGGGTCTCAGGACCTACAGGAGGGTCTCAGGACCTACAGGAGGGTTTTCAGGACCTACAGGAAGGTCTCAGGACCTACAGGAGGGTTTTCAGGACCTACAGGAAGGTCTCAGGACCTACAGGAGGGTTTTCAGGACCTACAGGAGGGTTTTCAGGACCTACAGGCGTTGGTGAAACGCAGCGAAGCAGTTGCGTTCGCTCTGTAAACACAGGAACACGTTACATTTGGTGCAGCGAACACGGGACTTCCCGGAGCAGCCCTGACCCCTGCAGCGCTTCGGGTTCTTCAGGTCGGCCATCTCTGGGAGGTGAGCGGCAGAACAGGTGCGGATGGAGACGTGTGGGACCGGGACCACCCGAGACCTCCTCCCTGACTGTGGAGGTCGCTCCTCCTCTCGCCCTGGCTCTGCGTGAAGGAGGAGGTCCCGCTTGTTGAGGAACACCTGGGCCACCGCCATGCGGAACTCCAGGAACCTCATGATGCTCTTTGGAGGGGCGCCGTGGTCCTGTTGGTCTCGGCGGTACAGCAGCCAGCTGTTGACCAGAGCCAGGTCGGTGAAGTGCATCAGGACACAGACGGTCCACTTCTTGGAGCGGACGCTCATCCTGTAGCAGCTCAGCATCCTGTCGGACAGCTTGACTCCGCCCATCGTGGCGTTAAAGTGTCGGGCGACGCTCGGCCGTGTGATGGTCACGTAGTCCTTGTCCTCCTTGGACCACCTCCGGCAGGTGTCTTTAGGTTCTTCTGCGTGAGCGGCGGAGAGGAAAAGCATCGGCTTCTTGTCCGACCACTTGACCAAGCACAGCCGACCGTCGGCTCGTGTAGTGGCAGCCGAAGCTCCTGGTCCGCAGCGCTTCAGGGTCCGGTCACTCGGCAGCTTCTTGGTGGCTTTGAGGACCCGGTTCTTCCTCACCGGCCCCGTCAGGTACACCTGCCTCCTCATCATCAGCTCCGCAGCTGCTCCGCTCATGAAGGCCTGGTCACAGTAGACTCTAGTCCCGGCAGCCAGAGTCTCAGACAGACGCTGGATCACCAGGGCTCCTAGACCCAGACCCACAGAGTCCTGAACCTGGGACCTCAGAGTCTTTACACCTTGGTAGACTTCAAAGTCCAGCACAAGTCCATCCACTGAGGCCAGAACAAAGGTCTTGATTCCAACTGGACTAGGCTTTAGGAGAACGCGGTGCTGGACCGGGCCGGCTCCGGTGAACGGGATCACCTGCTCTTCTACGGAGACAGATCCAGGTCGAGTCTGAAGACGGCAGCCGTACAGGACGCGGTTCACGAAAGGTCTGACCTTCCAGAACTTGTCCCTTTGTCTCTCGTGTCCTGGAACGTCTTCATCGACCACAGCTTTCAGGTTGCTCCTGAGTTTGAAGAAGCGGTCCCGGGACATGGTATCCCCGATGGCGGGGATCCTCAGGGAGTTGGACCAGAACATCCGGGTTTGAGGGTAACGGACACAAGACATGAGGACGGCTGCTCCAAAGAAGTGATAGACCTCCTCCACGGACGTGTTGAGGGACGTCCCGCTCTTCGCCAGCGACGTGGAGTTGGTGCAGTCAGCGAGAACTTTCATCAGCTCCGAGTCCAGGTACTGCTCCACGTAGTCCTGAGGCTGCCAGGCGGCTCGCCCGTCCCTCAGCCTGTCCTCTTCACCCTGGAACTGGACCAAGTCTGGTCTGAAAGGAGCCGACGTCCACCCTGCTCCAGGTCCTCGCTGGTCCTCATCCAGTTCTGATGATGAAACATAAAACAGCTCATGATGTGACGACTCCACGCCTGAAGAATCCAACTCTACTTCAGGCTCACCGGCATCCTCAACATCTGCACGCCTGCGTTTGTGGGCTGAATGTCCACGCCTCCTCTCACCGTCCTCTGCTGCATCAGGAGCCGACTCGTCTTCATCAGAGTCCTCCTCAGGTGAGTCAGGTGGAAAATATTCATCTTCAGAATCATCATCTTGCAGCTCCGCAGGGAAGAGGTTCAGGTGTTCGTCCACAGACGGATCAGACAGATCTTCCTCCTCGGAGCTCCCTACAGCTGCCATGAACAGATGTTCTGCTTCTGACAGCGGGACTTTCCCTGGAGAGAGAAGATCAGCCCCACATTCAACACCTGCACCAGAGCCAGGTGGCGAATGGCTCATGTAGCCTGTTAGCTTGATCTGTTTACGTCTATAAACTCTCAGCTTCACCCAGCCTCCTGACACGTCACAAACTATAGTCCCAACGTCCTCAAACGAGGAATTCGTCTTTCCTAACTCTCTACTTTACACGTCTTCTGAAGCTATAGATGCCAACGGTGCAAATGTGCAGAAATAAACTAGTTTCCAACATGAAACAGGATCTGGATCATTACCTGGACCTGTTTTTAGACGAGCTGCTGAAGAAGCTTTTTACTGGGATCTCCGCCATCTTCTTTTCACTGAAATGAGTGTGATGATGTCATGTGACCACTACGTGGTGCTGCTAGTGTCTAGAACCAGGCCAGAGAGGTAAAATGTAAGGTCCTCATATGAGGACACAGGGTCTCAGGAGGGACAACATGGACAGTTTTCTGACTAATTTATTTTTAGCGTATGAAACAGACTGAATACAAGAGACAGGAAGTGTTTAACAAAATAAGAGTCCAGCATTCTTTAAAGGAATGCGTGTCACTGACAGCTTCATATCAAAGTTAATGTTTTCAGAACGACGTCACAAAATGTTTTAAACCCTCAGAGTGAGTTCAGGATGACTCATCTGCTCAAAGCTTCATCCTAAACCTGTAAAAGACTTTTGTTGACATGTTGGTGTTATTTAGTGTTGATTCTGATCAGCTGAACAATAGTTCTGTAGTTTAGGAGGCAGAATCTTAAAATCTGATTTCAACCTTTATATTAAAAGTGTTGCAGCTCATCAGCTGCTCCAGCTCCAAACACGACACCTGAACGCTGCTCCTGGCTCAGGTGGGTTTTCATATGGCAGGTCAGACCACCGTTAAACCTGAAGGTTTTACCGCACCTTTCACAGGTGTAGGGCTTCTCACCTGTGTGAGTCCTCATGTGCACGGTCATTGCACTTCTATGTCTGAAACTTTTCCCACAGGTTCCACAGGTGTAGGGCTTCTCACCTGTGTGAGTTCTGTTGTGCATCACCAAACTGTGACTCCGTATGAAGCTTTTCCCGCACACCTGGCAGGAATACTGCTTCTCACCTGTGTGGGTTTTCATGTGAAAGTGCAGATTACCACTTTGGCTAAAACTTTTCCCACATAATTCGCAAGAATATGGTTTCTCACTGGTGTGGGTTCTCATGTGTCTTTTCAGCACTGAGGAGTAGTTAAATCTTTCCCCACAGGTGCTGCAGGAGTAACGTTTCTCACCTGTGTGGACTCTAGAGTGACGAGACAACTGACCGCTGCGGAGGAAGGTTTTCCCGCATGTTTCGCAGGAGTACAGTTTCTCACCAGTGTGAGTTTTCATATGATCCACCAAACTGTCATTCCGAGCAAAACTTTTCCCACATGTTCCACAAGTAAAGGGTTTCTCACCTGTGTGAGTCCTGATGTGATTGGATAAACTTTTACTGTGAATGAAGGATTTCCCACAGATTTCACAAGAATGGAGTTTCTCCCCTGTGTGTGTGGACGTGTGGCATTTCAAGGCAGAGAAATAACCAAATCTTTCCCCACAGATTTTACAGATGTAGGGTTTCTCACCCCTGTGGGTTCTTTTGTGGACCGACAAACTGTTCTTGAACCTGAAACTTTTCCCACATGTTTCACAGGGAAAGGGTTTCTCCTCTGTGTGACTCGTCATGTGACATCTCAACATGTTTGTCTGACTGAACTGTTCCCCGCAGGTGTTGCAGGAGTAGGGTTTTTCACCTGTGTGGGCTCTGACATGGACTTTGAGATGAGACGTACAGCTGAAACTCCTCCCACATGTCTGACAGGAGTAGGGCTTCTCACCTGTGTCAGTTCTCAGGTGGGTCTTTAAATGACTACTCTGACTGCAGTCCTCTCCACAGATCTGACAAGAACCTGTGGGCTCAGGGTCCGGTCCTGGATCACTCAGGTCACTGTCATCGTAAGTCACAATAACCGTGTCGAAGCTGTCGTCGTCCTCCTCTTTGATGTGAGGAGGTTCCGCCTCCTCCTGGTGACACAACTCTTCATCAGTTACAACCTCCTCTTCCTCTTTACAGACGGCTTCTGCAGAAACAAAAGGTTTGTTTTAAACTAAGTAAAGTTTTAAAGATTCACAAAGTGCTGTGGTCATGTTAAATATCAACAGTGTAAAGACAGGAATAAAACATCAAACAGATACGTCTCAACTCAGAGCAGCTAGGAGACAAACAACAACAACAACAGGTGTAAATAGGAGCTGGACTGTAACAAGGTGTGAATATGAAGACCAAACAGTGAAACAAAGAGATGATTGTTTCAGGATGAATAAAGTTGAGATTTTTACAGGTTTTCAGAAACAGACTCAGGCTGCAGTAAATGTTTAACTGAAGACTTGAGCAGAAAAGTGGTTTTTAGATTTCTCTTAAAGGAATCCATGTTACTGAGGGAGTGGAGATGAGAAGCACAGTCACCACGAGTCCTGAAGCAGAGGAGGTTCTGGTCCTGAGAACGTAGATTACATCTGGGATTATGAGGGGAATCTGACTTCTAATGTAGTCAGGCTCCTGGTCTCGTAGAGCTCTGAAGGTCAGATCCTGATCCTGATCCTGAACTGGACAGGAAGTAGTGAAGGTCAGAGGATTGAGGAGATGTGGCTGAACTTTGAGGTGTCTTTAGACAGAGGTTGTTCTTGACTTTTTTGTTGTCCATCATTTTGACTGACAGGGTAAAATAAATCAGTTTTTACCTGTCAGTTTATTTTAAATAATATCTAAACATTCATATGAGGCTGCTGTCATGTTGGTTAGTAGTTCTGCCTCAGATGAGGCCTGCAGGATTTTATGGGAGATAAACTCATCAGTTCACCTCACTACAGGACATGAGTGCATGGTGCTGAAGAACAGCATCTGACACACACACACACACACACACACACACACACACACACTGCCCTGCTTTTGACTCAGTAAAAGAAAATAAAAAATCTACAAACATTATTTAGTGGCTGCAGTTTGTAACATTAACTCTGCAGGAGGACAGGACAGAGATGCAGTCAGCTGTTCATCACAACACACTGCTGCCTCTGTGTTAAAATATTATTAAATAAAAACAGAAGAAGTTTATGGATCTGATTTATGCAGTAAAAAGTCTAATAATTAAAAAATTATAAGGAAACTCTCCACACAGTGGTTCAGCTGCACCTCAGACGCTCTGTCAGCTCCTGGACTCAGTATGGAGACGATGATCAGATGAATCTTCGTTTATTTGACATTAAATAAAAACACGTCTGTGACGTAGACCTGCTCCGTCTCTGGGAGTGTGATGTCACAGAGCTGTCGTCTTATGAAGCCTTGTTTAATTTTTCCTTCACCTCACCTGCTTCATTTATTACGTCTTCAGGGATTTAACTGCAATCTGTCAAAATGATGGACAGTTGTGTAAAAAGAAACGGTCAAACGTTGTGTTAAAGAAACGGTCAAACGTTGTGTTAAAGAAACGGTCAAACGTTGCGTAAAAGAAACGGTCAAACGTTGCGTAAAAGAAACGGTCAAACGTTGCGTAAAAGAAACGGTCAAACGTTGTGTAAAAGAAACGGTCAAACGTTGCGTAAAAGAAACGGTCAAACATTGTGTAAAAGAAACGGTCTAGCGCTGTGTTAAGGTGACCTCTGGTGTTGTAGCCTTGCTGGAGGAGACTCGGCTGTTTCTGGTTCAGGCAGGTGAACAGGATGAAGTTTGGAGATGATGTGAAGTTAGAAACATGTGGAAACATCTGCTGACAGATCTGAGTCCAGCTTGGTCCCTCTGCTGGACTCAAAGAAACCAGCTGCTCTTTCGTCTGTGGGATTTTATTTTCTGGTCCAGGACCAGGACCTCGGTCTTGTCTAAGTTAAGTAGCAGCAGATTGTCAGAGGTCTCATCTGAACCAGTTCAAAGCACAGAACTGATCCGGGTCTTTGGACACCAACCTGTTCCAGGTGACGGTCCCTCAGAAACAGGAAGTGGGCGGTGCCGGCGGTCCAGCTCCTCCTGGAACTGGACGAAGACGCTGAAGAGTTTCTCAGCAGCAGCAGCAAAGATTTCCTCAGATTCTGACCTGAACCGGACCAGGATGAAGGTCCTGCTCTCCAGCTGATCCCAGTCCAGTTCCTCTGGTTCTTCTTTAATCTGAACAGGTTCCGGGTCCAGTTGGTCCATCAGAATCTGCTCTGTGTAACTGTGCTGCTGTGGGACATCTGCAGACAAACAAACACAAACTTTTATTTTGAAAAATGACAAAGAATCTGAACTAAAGCTTCCTGTGTTAAAGTCCTGGTTCTGACCCAACCCAGAGTCCCCAGCAGGAGCAGGGGGAGGAAAAGACCCTCAAAGTAATCTGTTCCTTTAAACTGGTTCTAACTTTAGGTTTAACAAACATCTCTGTCCCTTTGAGATAAAATAAAACTTTATTGATCCACAGTGGAGACATTTGAACATTACAGCAGCTCAGAACAGGACAGAGTGAGAAAATCAAGATAAATACAATAAAAAAAACTATACTCCTGATATATAACAATGTACAAATACCTAGTACAGTATATAAGTTAATGTATATGAAGGTGCAGATTAGCGATGGCAGTGTAGGTAGTTTCAAAATAAAACCTCTGAATGTTGGGAGGTTGTTAGAGCACAAACAGAGCAGGTAATATTTTGCTAACAGAGACAAAGAAGCCGGGGGGGGGGGGGGGGGGSRGCTKTTAGGATCTTTTCCTTCAAAATAAAACCTTGGTTGGCTGTGTGTTTTAAATGTTTTACAGCCATTAAAGTTGATTTCAGAATAAAAGCACCTGCAGCTGCTGCCTCCTACCTGTCCTGTTGGAGCTGCTGGTTCGGCCTCTCCGGTTCGGGTCCAGCGGTCCGGACCGACGGTCCGCGGTTTCTTCAAAGTGGCAGAAGATCTGCTGAGCCGCTGCGGACAGTTTGTCTCTGATGAAGTCCCGAACCGAAGACATCCCGTCCTGACCTGCTCCCATGTTCCCTTCAGACCCCCGGAAACAACCGTGTTCAGCTGCGGAGGTAAAGCTAATGCTAAAGCTAACCGGAAGTGTTCTTCTTCCGCCTCTTCCCGCTGCTGCCGCCTAGCGGCCGCCCGGCTGTGAACACGGGCTCAAAATGCAACAAAACTGAAGATTAAAAGAAATACTGAGTAAAAACAGCTCAGAATAATAAAACAAAGATTATTTTCAGTCCTCAGGTTAAATTTATTATCATTAAACATATGTATGGTTTATATTTAAGACTTAAAAACCTCAGAGGTTGTTGGAGGCGCTCTGCTGCCGCCTGCTGGTCAGACTGAGACACTGCAGCAGTTTGTTTATTTATTATTGTTTATTTATTACTACTGTTTATTTATTATTACTGTTTATTTATTATTACTGTTTATTTATTATTACTGTTTATTTATTATTACTGTTTATTTATTGTTACTGTTTATTTTCACTGAAGTCTTTTCTTTGTTTCTAACAAAGTTTAATTCTGCTCTTAGTTTTTATAAACCATCCGTTTAAGTTTTATTAAATCCGTTCCACTCACTGAAAGAATAGTTTTAATAATTTCTAATTAAAGTATAATTATTTATGTATGTTAAGTGTTTACACAGCTGCTGCTGCTCGCACAATCATTCGTCCTGCTGTTATTTATTTATATTAATAATCTGAGCAATCAGCTGCTCTGTTAACATTTAATTCTGCTGTAATTACACTGTCATACTTTAATAGTCTGTTGAGATTATTTTAGCACTGAAAAAGTCAGATTCTGATAGTCTACAGTCTCTAAAACAATTCTTTATATTTTTTATCATCAGTAGTTGTGTCATGGTTAGTCAGTGTTAATTTGTTGTGTACATTTAACTCGTGTGTGAACCTCGGTACTGATGCTGCTAAACTTCCTCTCAGCGAGACGATAAAGGCTGTTTCTGTTCTAATATTTGATACTTGTGGACAGTTTATTAAAAGAAATTTAAATTCATAAAAATAAAAAAACACATATTTGGTTTGAGATGACTTATTTAACCAACCTGTTTGATCTGCAGCTCTAATAAAATATTTCAGCTTTTCTTTCTTTAACACCTCAGAAACAATCAACAAAATAACCAAAATGTTATTTATTACAAGACTAAAAGCATCATTTTTCATCAAATAAAGTCAAATGTTCCACAAGTTTCTGCTGACTCAGCTGACAAACTGTAAAATATAAAAACTAAACATAAAACTATAAATTATACCAGAGGTTTACCTGAAAAATGTTTTATGAAACTGTTATTTATCTGATCAGAACTGCAGATGAAATTTAGCTGCTGAGCTCATTCTGGTGCATTTATTGTCACAGATTATTATTTAATGTGCATTGTCCTTTTAAATAAATAAATCAGTCAAATCTATTCAAATAAAAACTTCATTATGTGGTGCAGAACGTTTTCACTAAATCAAGTCAGAAAAACCTCTCCTTGGGCTGCTACCTTATCGTGGTGGAGGGGTTTGAGTGTCCCAATGATCCTAGGAGCTATGCTGTCTGGGGCTTTATGCCCCTGGTAGGGTCACCCATGGCAGACAGGTCCTAGGTGAGGAACCAGACAAAGCGCAGCCCGAAGACCCCGAAGACCCCTTATGATGAATACAAGCATTGGATCTGGCGTTCCCTCGCCCGGACGTGAGTCACCGGCCCCCCCCCCTCTGGAGC